AAATGACCTTCTAGACTTTATCCCGGAGGGCTACCATTAACCTGGAGTTCATCCCGACTCGTTTCAAGCCTTTCTTGCTTTGATTGGGGCCTAAAATGCACAAAAGCCCCCTAAAAACAGCGTCGGCGCCATTCCCAGTAGCTTCTACCTGTCTCGTCAGTCTCCTTCGAACTTTTTAGAATTTCGAAGAATGTCACCATTGGCAACGACTTCATCACCACTGCCACTGGCACTATAACTCCGAGACCACAGAAAGCTCCCTCGGCCTTTTTTAGGGCCTGTTTCCGGCTTTTCTGATCTCCTATTCAGGGTTTTGAAAAGAAACAGGTCGTCACCATTGGCCGTAGGGTGGGCGCCACTGACACTAGCACCAGCCTTGTTCTTCCCTGTTCTCTATTTTCCAGCTTACCCGAAGTACCAGTGGGACCTCTGGCGCGAGTGTCAACTCTGTTGATTCTGTTTGCACCACCGTCAGCCTTTGTCACCTCAGACAATGTTGTTTTTGCTTGGTAGTGTAATTTTTTCACTTTCCAGCATCTCTCTCTGTCTTCTGCAGTTCTGGAACAGAGGGGCCCTACCCCTTTGTTTTGAGTCGCCCTTGGATAAGGGTTACACCCGACTTTAAGCTTGCCCAACCAAACATAAGCCGCACCTTTCACTTGGACTATGTCTTGGTTGGTTTCCCAACCCAAAGTGCACATTACTAGGCACCAACTAGCCGGGTGTTCACCCTTGTTAACGCGTCTAGCCTTCATTTTCATTGCGCTAAGTTCAACTTGTCGACTTGAAGTGCGCATCGCTCAGTACTAGTAGTACCTCACATTCATTTACTTGTTTGCGAACATTATTGTTTGTTTGTCACAATCTTCAGGTGCACTCGTGTTGCTTTACACGGTTACACTTTGCACCCTCGAGCACGGATGAAAAATCTCTTTCAAATTTAGTTTTTCGAAAACCTGCATCCGGCCTTAAGGCTTCTGGAGTAGGCACCTAGTTCTTAAAGGAAGAGCAGTTGGGATCTTGGGCCCTCAATGGGAGTACTCCCTTTGTATATACTCAGCCTCTAAGAGCACCCCACAATACTTTGAACCCATAATCGCTTATAGAAGCGGTTAAGATCAAAGGTGGGTGTATCCAATTACCCTACCTTATTTGTTAAAAGCGTCTACCCTTTGGTCGGAACCCATGACCTAACCTTACCCACTAGCAGTATAGAGATATCCAAGTCTTTTTGAGTGATTGCTTGCCTAAGTAGAGAGATGTATTTCAACCCAAGTGTGAGGGTGTGGGACTCGGATACCAAGTCCACAGCCAATTCATATCGAAGGTCGGATACATCGACTGGCTGTTCTGTGGGATAGCATATTGCCATCCCCGGGGACTATCGTACTCATATGCCGCCTATAACCATAGTTAGGTCTCCTAGTCATCTATCCGGTGACCAACTAAGTTACCGGTCTGATGCTAGGGGTCATCAGGTCAGTATTGCCCAAAGCACCCTAAACAGTCAAGGGGTTAGACTGGGTGCAATTCTTCAGCAGGTTGGAGTGTTGTGATTGTCTTGACGCTGAATGCAAGGCAGGGTTTGTCCCTTCAGTGGAGAGCATGTTGATGATCTTAGTGTAGATGATCCCTGAGTCCCGGTAGCTCCTTCTCCTCATAATAGGACAAAATTTGATAAGAATACTGTATTTGGATTTTATAATGCCTTTAATAGCCGTAGGGCTGACCATGCACCTCTTAGAAGCATCCTACCTAACGTAGGGGTAGTACCAGGCCTAGTAGGGCTCAAATACATTTAGGAGTTAGTTCACCCATGATAGGCAGTATTGTAGACCCAGCCGGGATAGCTCAAGATGTTCTTCAAGCCATAAGCAACCATAGCTTAGGACGTGCAGTAAACTTCTTGGCCCAACCTAATTCAGGGCTTGGTCAAGCGCAACCTGATCCTGGGATGGTCCCAAGCCAACTGGTGTTCAAGCCATCTTATCCCTTCTACCACTCCCAGTCTAGGGAAGCTCCACCTGTCCCTAGGGCACCAACTTACCCACCAGCACACCAGCTGACCCCCATTTGCCCAGCTTCCCAACCTGCCACCCTAGGTAGTAACCTTTGGCCATCATCCGCTCAGGCGGATGCCAAATATCTGTTCTTAGAGGACCAGGTCAAAACCATGTGAGGGGCCCTACAACAGTTGGGAGTGGACAATCCCACCCTCATGGAGTCCTACGACGAGTCCTATCTCGACGGTCTCACTGATCTATCGATGAATTTCATACCACCGGATTTTTGGAACTGCTTTAATAGAAAAGGCGACCCACGATCGTAAATCGCAAATGGCCTCCTCCCCCTGAGCCAATTCGGCTCTCACCCGCTTGACTTCAGATGTGTCACGAGCAAACCTCTCAAACCATGGGGAGTGGATGATGGATTGCATTAATCGATATTACTCTCGGTGATACTCATTCATAACTTCAAAGGGAACCATATCCGAAATAGGCTCTTGAAAATCATGCCGCAAGCCCCATCTTTCAATGAATGGATCCATTCCTACCATATGATTATGACTTTTGTTTTTTTACCCTTTTTCTTAACATCATATACCCTATGATTATGATCTTCTTTTTATTTTGTCAATAATATTGTAAATGTTGCCAATATTATGACAATATGAACATCAAGCACACACCTAAAGACACATGATTGCCATCATATACCCTATGACTATGGGTATGAGTAGAGTACGTGTCTGGTCCAGCTGGACTCAGACCTGGACCCGAATAGTATTCGTGTATAAAATTTGGACACATACCTAGATAATCATTACCACCCCTAAACATAGAAAATCATTATTTTACTCAATGGAAAAAACTTATATTAGGTTGTAACCTAATTAAGGCACACCTTAAAAATCAGTTGGAAAATGTTGTTTTGATATTGGAAAATCCTCTAACTGATAATCTCAACATCGATACGTTTGGATATGGAAAAGGATTTCGAGTCCAAAAAATAGTGTATCTTGCAACACATTATTTGGACCGTCTATTTTCTATATTGTCGTGTGTTTTTAGATCTATTTGATTTGAACAATTTTTGAAATTTAAAAATTTATAATTAGATATAAAAACATATTCTCATATCATTTTAAGAATTTGACACCAAAATTACATCTTATTGTAAAATTTAGAAATATGCCTTATTTTGATTGTTTAAGGATCGCACCGTCAATCAATTGGGCTCTTCATTTGGAAAATAATGATAAGGGAATATTAGGTCTTTGACTCTGGAAAAGCAGGTGTATCAGATCTTGTCCCAAGTTTTTAAGATTTGGGGAACCCACCTAAGCCCTTTCTGTATGCTGTAGAAAGCATCTCTCTATTATAAACTATAGATTACCACGCAAACTAGAAAGCATCTCTCTCTCTCTCTCTCTCTAGAAAACGTCTGTCCTTGACCTTGCCGGCCCAACCAGAACGATACGAGAATTTCTACAAAGCTTCTAGGATTCATTGCAAACAGTAAGGGCGACACCCCAAAAAGAACAATGGGAGAAACACTAAATGATCCAACAAAAGTTTTATTCATCCTAGAACCAAAGAACATCACAAATCAAACTACAATAGGAAAATGGTTTAATTGGGGTGCACCCCTATCAAAATAAATAAAGCCTCACCTAACAACTCATTGAAAATTGTAATTATCGATCATCTCGACTTGAACATATTGTGAAAAAATAATTAGGATTTCAAAATGTAAAAAATGGTATGTAGTTTAATAAATTATCTAGAACGTCTATTTTGCCTTAAAAATAAGTGTTCAAAGATCCGCAAGATCTCTTAAAATTTTTTGCCTTAAAAATAAGTGTTCAAAGATCCGCAAGATCTCTTTAAATTTTTTGAGTTTCAAATTTTATTGTTGATATTGAAAATTGATTTTGGGGCTATCATGGAGATTTCCGTTACCGAAAGTGCTTTCCGGAAGAGGATTTGAGGTGAGGCTCTATTTGGTTCAATAGAGCCTAGACCTTGTAGAAACTTCATCCACTAAAATAATGACATAAACCTTTCTCCTTGACAAAGGATAAACCCTTTTCCTCGGGAAGTGGAGCAATAAATGCATTCAGGGGAAAAAAAAAAAATTGCATCCGAGGGCTCCTTGAAAGGAAAATGGCTTCGATCAATACAGGAGCCCCTCTAACAAAGTTACAAATATTAATAATCATATTTCAATTTTCTCTCTCCGAATTTCAAGTTTGAACAATGAAACTTCCTCCCATAAACAAATTCTAAATTTCAATTCTCAATATGTTTTCAGGTGTCACTTGTTTGAATTCAATCCAACCAACTTAACCAGACCCAACCCTGATTCAATGGTCAGTACGGTTGTTAACTTCTGATAAAACTGGTATTTGGTTTAATGTGGTGCACTCGTATGATGGCGAGTGTTCCCGTTGAACTCAACTCCAATTTGTTTATTTTTAACCTGATTACTGGATCCAAACGCTATGTTACTTATGTATATCCTTAAACAATGCCAACTTTCCTTGATAGTTAATTTATAAAAATAATACAACTTTAAATAAGATTCTGGAACACAGGGAAATTAAACAAATTAAAAAGATACACAACATCCATCTGAGGAAGCGATATTTTATTGAAAACTTGGTCGTCATATGAGATGAACGTCCTACTGACGGGACCCAATCCGGCCGTCCTCTTTCTATTTTCTCTCTCTAAACAACCTTTGCTGTAATTTTACATATAATTTGATCCTGATTATGAGGAAGACGACGACTGAACCACGCATGCGTCTGCATATATAGCCGGCTAAATGCATGTTAACCACATACTTAATTTTATTACATCCAATAAACATCTCTCTCTCTCTCTCTCTCAAGTCTCAACACACAACAACACACACACAGGCAGCTGCATTAGCTTCAACTTTATGCAATGGAGGAAATGGGGTGAGGCCTCCCCCTCCCCTCTCTCTCTCTCACACACACACACTCACACACAACACATACACACACAACGAGAGAAACACGTATGAAGAGAAGGTATAGAAAACTCAACAGAGTGAAAGATCTCTCTCTCTCTACAAGATAACTTCTATGAAAGAAGAGGTACTGCAAATAACCCCCTGATTCAGATAATGAAGATGCATATGAGGCTGCTCCTTGCGGATCCTGGACCTGTACCTGCACCACCACCACCTTTGGTTCGATTGGAAGCCTTCCCCGAAAGGAAACTATGGGGTGCACTCATTATAGGAGCCACCACATTTATACTGGGCTTTCTCTTCCTCTACTTTCTAAGGGGTCGAATCCGTATATTTCTCAAGAATAGGAAGAAATCAAAAGGTGAAGATAGAGAGAAAACAATGCTCTTGCATCTATTAGTGATGTTCTGGTTTCTCTTTTTACATTGATACTTGCTTGTTTTGAGTAGATTTTTTTGGATTTTAGAGTGAGATAACAATGTCATTGCATCAATTGATCTTGTTGGGTTTTTTATTTTAGATTAATCCTCGTTTGTTCGAGCAGGTTCGTTGGATTATAGAGAGAGAAAGCTTAGGCGTTTCCTGCTACAAGAGCTGCAAAAGGCAACGGGTAATTTTAGTGTGGAGTGTTTAGTTGGAGCGGGAGCTTTTGGGAATGTGTACAGAGGGATTTTTGAGGGGGATGGGGCCATAGAGACACTTGCCATTAAAAGGGCGCATGCCGACTCTTACATGAGCCTTGAAGAATTCCAAAATGGTCATCTCTCTTCCACACACTTTTAATTAGACAATGTCATGTTTAAATATTTAGCGTGATTTACATGTGGACCCTAAATGTTTTTTTTTTAAAATACGAATTACTGTGGAAATTATAAAAAAGGTAGATCAATCCGGTTTTTTTTTTTTCAAATTACCTCTCAAACCGAAATTTAATATATATATCCATTTAATAGTAGGGAACTGTCCTAAAGCTTGGGGCACTGCCTACTAACAAAAAAACTAAAAAAAAAAAAATTCAGACCAAGGATTCCATTGGGGCAATTTTGGAAAAAAAAAAGATGCAACCTTTTTTGTAATTTTTTGTCATAAACAAAACATTTTGTATTTTAGAAAAAAAATTAAGATCCATAAGTAAATCACTCAAAAATTTAAAATCGACATCTCGAGTAGGTGCATATGTTCAATTAAGTTGTTGTAGAATGATATTATTGTTGGCGACGATTATAGTGCCAGCTTTTTTACTGCCACATAATACGTATTGTTTTGGTTGGGTTTATGAAGCAGAAGTTCGGCTTATTTCAAGAGTGAACCATGAAAACCTTGTTAAATTGGTGGGTTACTGCGAGGAAGCCGGTATCTCTCTCTCTTTCTCTTTCTCTGTTTATTTCTGATTCTATGTAGGACATTTTCATCTTCATAGTCAAAGGTTATTCAGTTGATTTCGAAGTGAATTGGTTTTCTGGCTTTAATTTCTCATTTTCTCAAGAAAATTACTGTTAATAATAATAAGAAAAGAAAAAGAAAAAAAATTCGGTCTATGATGAGCTTATACTTCACTATTTCTGGATATTTTCATTAAATGCCAAAATCTCTCTCTATCTCTCTCCTACACTTTGACTGGAGTTCGATATTACAAGTATAAGAAATGAATAGGAAAATGAGGTGATCGAGCTGCAGCCCTATAAGTAAGTAAATCCTCACCTTATGAATAGGAAAATGAGGTGATCGAATATTGTTAGCCAAGCTTTGGAAAACCTTTACATAGATTATCTTGACTTGAATATTTTTGTTGTAAAAAAATATTAGGATTTCAAGCTCTAAAAATAATGTATATTGTTGCAAATTATTTAGACACTTCATTTTGCTTTAAAAATAAGTATTCATAGACCCTCAAGATCGATACCATGTTTTGAGTTTCAAATTTTATTATCAGTGTTGAAAATTGATTTTCGATCCATAATAGAGATTCCCATTGTCGAGAATATTTTCCAGATGAGGATTTCAGGTGAGGCTTATTTTGTTTTCATAAAACCTAGGCCTTATAGAAACTTCATCCAAAAACGGATAGGGAAGTTTACAGTGCCCATGTGAACTGTTTAACATAACTAAAAAAGAGTGTGGTTCACAATCCCCGAGTTTATGTTTGGGAGAGCTTTTTATACTCAAGGAGAAGTATAAAAAGCTTTCCGTTTTATTTATTCCTATTTTTTACTATATATATATTTTTATTAAAAGTAGTTTAAAGATGGAACCTTTTAGTGAAATCCCTTTACGATAGGGTGGTTTGGAGATCCAAATCAAGCCGACCTAATTGTGGAGCTGTTCGAAGTTTGAACTTTAGAATCGCCTTACATATCCCACAACCAAGTGTGCTAGGTGGTTCAAAGGTTGAATATTTAAACCGCCCAAACACATGCTTTTTGGGGTTTAAAGCCGTTTGAAGGTCCGAACTCCAAACTTCGAACTACTTGTAAATTTTTTAACACGAATGGGTGTTGTAGCAAATTACTTGACTCGCTTCGAAAGTTTGACCTTCAAACCGCTCATATACTTAGTTTTTTGTGTGTGTGTGTTAAGAGCCATTATTGATTTACCATCAAACCACAAGAAAAATCATCATCAGAGTTTTTTTTTAACTTATTGGGACCGGCTACACAAATCTTAGTATGCTCTTTAGCTCTATCAAGGGTAATACCCTCACTGAGGTCTTAAGTCCCTAGATCTTTTCTCATTACTTCTAGCCATGTCCTTTTGGGTTTACCCCTTACTTTTTTTTAGCATTCCACTTGAACCAACTCACACCTCCTAACAAGTACCATATTGGGTCTGCACTGCACATGACCAGCCCCCCTAAATGTACTTTATCTCATCTTATCGCCTATTGAAGCCACAAGTAAGTTCTCCCTAATGTATTCATTTTGAATGTTATCCCTTCTTATCTTACCACTCATCCATCTCAATATCTTCATCTCAACTATACATATCTTACGGGTATATTTTCTTAACCACCCAACATTCTACCCCATGAAAAAAAGTTGGTCTTATAGTTATCCTATAGAATTTCCTCTTCAACTTTATTGGTATGCCGCAATCACATAAAACTTATGTTGCACATCTCCACTCTACCTACCCAACTCTAATTCTATGCGCGACCCAAGATATCAAAGCAGGAATAACATATAAATTAAAAAATCTAAATTTTTGAACCTCAATATAGAAATCTAGAATATAATTCGATTGAGAAATTTATCTAAATACTCATGAGAGATGGACTATTTTACATCCAACATATATTTTTTATTTAATTCAAATTACACATCAAAATCCACATGATCATGAGTTGGAATAATTATAAAGAGATAAAATATTAAATAGCTCATTCATTATATATATTTTGATAAATTTCCCTTATTTTTTAATTACCTAAGTTATTTTGTCTGATAACCTCTCTAAATTTTTTGAAGTACCTAATACTTACACTGGTTGTCTTCTTCTTAACTGAAAGTCGATGACCCACCGTACCCTTCAATATTTATCCTTCAACATTTATGTGTGTGTCTTTTTCCTTGTTTTATTTGCTCGTCCCATATGCATAATGCCTTTGCTTTTGTTTTTTTGACCAGTTCTTCCTTAGGTTTTTCTTGGTCATTGGGTTTATATTTTTGGTCCGAATGCGATACATTTGTCACTGTCGATAAAGAGGACAACATTGTGGTCCTTATGGTATTATTTAAGATAACGGCCGTTTGGAGATAACGGGTTGATAGGTTACTTACCCTAAAAGCGAAGTAAATAACAAAAATAGCTGGTGGGGTGATCCCGTGATTAAAGCAAGAGAAATAAAAGCGTATTTCAATTTTCAAAACTTTTTACATCAATTTCTTAATTTAAATCTGTTAATATTTCATAATGATAATGGAAAATTGTTTCATGCAGGCTGGATCGTATTTCTATCTATGCGGTCTAGAAAGTGTAAAGCATCCATCTGTAAGATGGATGCAAGTAGGTGTTTCATCTAAGAACAATGGAAACTAATGGTCCAAATGTTTTCTTACTAGAATTATTATGTCTAGTGTTTAAAATTTATTTATTTTTCATATTCATGATCTTAGAGATTACATATTCTTAAAAATTAAGTCTTAAAATCCATCGCAAATATAGATTTATTAAGAAGCCCGCATTTCCACATATGTGTGCTTGGCCGCATAGAAACCAGGTCCTTTGGTAATTAATCCATAATGCAAATGTTTTAGTAAAGTCAGTTTATTTGTCATTGACATACAACATGGTATTCCATTTCAATTGACTTGATCATAACTGTTAAGAACGAAAGAGCCATATTTTATCCTACTAAATAGATAATCCCATGTATATTGAAGAATCCTATCAATAGGGGCATAGATATTTGTTCTATGAATCTTTTCCAATAAAAAATCCTTAAACAGCAGTCCTACTAAAAAATTATCCAGAATTATTTGTTATCTATTTTTTATTGATAGAATATTCCTATCATACTTTTTTAAAAATTTTAATTTACAATTTTAATTTTTTTAAAGTAATTAATGATTATATAAAATATAAAACTCAAAAAATTACTTAAAGTTCTGAGTGGTTAGACTTATGCATGGCATAGGCTGTGGACTAGTTTCGATAAAAATATATTGTTACATCTTATTGAAAATTGCGGGGAGCGAGATTCTTTAATTTGATAATTTCTTAGTGAGATAAATAACCCAATATGCCAAGAATACTGCCTAATTACAAGATAAAGGGTGGCTTCTGTGAAATTCATTTACGTAAAAGTGGAGTGAAAGAAAAATGCCAAAATATTGAGTGATGCCTAATTTCTCTTTTTAAGATTCAATATAATTTTAAAATATATTCACAAAATAATGAAGAAAATACAAGGATAGGAAAGGGAATCTTTTTTTTAACCTGTATAAAAAAAAGAGGGAAATATGCAATATATATTTTAAGGGATGAGAGCGCGGTGTTTATAACACAAAGGTTTCGAGGTTCAACCTATATAGGCCAATAGTGATTAGCTGACCTTAAATAGTTGAGAAAGAAGCTTTAATACTGATATTTCAATAGAGTCTACCAGGGTCACTTGATGATAAAATGCTAGACATGATGGAGAGAGACCTGCATTTATTATTATCCAATTTTGCATGGGCTACGTGACAGAAATGACACTAATAGACTAAGTCCATTGGGACTAAACTATATTACTGTTTCCTTTAATTAAACCATGCCAACCTTACCTTGTCAAAATGGGTGGCATGCAAGATAATTAACCTTTAGTTGTCATTAAAAAAAAAACTCTAGTATTTGAGTAAGGGAAAAGTTTATATAAGGTTGCAACTTTAAAATGTAGAATCACAGATGCACCTCAAAAATCTATCGAAAATATTGTTTTAATGTTAAAAATCTCTCTAATCAATTATCTCGACATCGAGATCTATGAATATGAACAAAAAAAGAGCTTTTGAATCTCGAAAATAGTACATCTTGCAGCACATTATCTAGACCGTTCATTTTCAAGATTTTCATTTATTTATAGATCTACTTGATTTTTACCATTTTTGGAATTTAAAATTCTCTAATTAGGTATGAAAATAGATTTAAAGATAATTCTAAGAATTTTTTACAACAAAATTACATGTTATGATAAAATTTTAAGGTGCGTCTTAATTGGATCGTTTGAAGTTGCAACCTTACATAAACTACAACCCTTTAAGTAATTAAATATATTTTTGGTTTGGGTTAATGTGCAGGCCAAAAAATACTTGTTTACGAGTACGTCCCCAATGGATCTCTCCTAGACTACATGGCAGGTGAGCTCGAGCCGTTGGTTTTAAGCCCTTAGCCGTTATCACATGCCCTATTTTCATGCTGATAGCAGTTATGAAACTTTGTAATTTCATTCTCCTTGGTCTTAAGAACAAGCACTGAAACAGACATGGTGCATTAAGACAGGGAGGAGACAGGCGTCATTGACGTGGTTGCAAAGGGCGAATGTGGCAATAGGCGCAGCTAGAGGTTAATTCTCTTCTCAACTATCTTTTTAAAATTGGGAACTGAATGTTCGTTCTCTAAGAAAAGTGGTCCCATTTTATTCTTAATATTCTTTTAATTTTTATTTTTTAAATTTTTTTAATATTTTTTATTGACCAGTTCACACCCAACTATCAACGATGATATGACCTCTCGTACCAATTGTAAATGATTTTGTTAGATTATTTTCCATATGATAATTGGTTGAGCCTAGATTGCCTATTTGGAAAACCAGTCCGGTCAAGCAAAGTGAACTAGCCAATAAAAATATTAAAAAAAGGTGCGGGTTTGTATAGAGCCGAGGCTCTAAACAATCAAATTAGAGGCCACCTTCAAATAGTGTCGAAAAATATGGTTTCAATACTGGAAAGTTTTGTGATGGTTTTAAGTTATATTTTCATCTTTAGTAATAAAATTTAAAGCTTAAAAAATAGTGCAGATCGAATAGATTTATGAAAACTTGAAATCATGAAAATTGACGGTCAAACAATGCGTTACAAGATGCACTATTCCCAAAACTTTAAATCCATTTTTTTTTATCATGTCCATGTATCATATGTCAAAATGATCAGTTTGATGATATTTGGGATTCGAAACAACCTCTTCTAGTGAAAGTTTTGATGTAGGCTCTAATTTGATTGTCAAGAGCCTAGGCTTTGTATAAACTTTTCTTATACTGGGTTGATTGTTCTCACTTTAAACCAAAAAAAAAATTAAATTTCTCACCTTTGGGTGTCAGATCTCACATACGAAAACTAAAAGTAACTGTGACATTCTTATGTCGTAAACGATGTTTTAGCATACAATCCCTTGTCATAATTGGCCGATTTGTTTAGCTCAGCCATCACCCCCCCGGAGCCGGCATTTGCATCTGGTATACAGGCAGCTTAAAACTTGAGGGTTCATATCATTCCTTCCACAAAAGGAAATAATAAAGAACTAAACTCATCTAATCCTAATAAGGAAGCCAGGCGCATTAATTTATTCCCTTTCTCTACAATCCCCAAACCTATTATTCAATTATTATTGTCTTTGGTTAGGTTTTTCGAATTTAAATAGTTGAACTATTTAATTTAGGAAAAAGTTCATATAAGGTTGCAACCTTAAAATGTAGAATTATAAATGCACCTAAAAAATCCATATGAGAATGTTGTTTTAATATTGAAAAATCCTATAATAGATCATCTTGACATTGAGATGTATGAATATGAGAAAAAAAAAAAAAGGATTTTGAGTTCAAAAAATAATGCATTTTGCAACACATTATCTAGACCTTCCATTTTCAAGATTTCCATATGTTTATAGATCTACTTGATTTTAACCATTTCTGAAGTTTAAAATTTATGATTAGATATGGAAAATAGATTTTTAGATAATCCGAAAAAGGTTTACATCAAAATTGCATGTTATGATAACATTTGGAGGTGCACCTTAATTGATTTGTTTAAGGTGGCAACCGTACAGAAAACCACACCCATTGCCCGATTTAAACATCCAAACCTAAACCAAGCCAAAGCATTTGTTCATATATTTGAAGGAAGGAAAATGAGACGTTTGAAAATGGAAGGGCTCCCCAGTCCTTTGATTAAACTGGTCTGCATCCCTTATTATTGCATAGCCTAAAACGATAGAGGATACGGAAAAATCATATTATGTAAGAAAAGAGTAAAAAGAACTAGTATTTCTTGGACAGCTTCAGTCCGGTTAGCGATATGAAGATGGGGACCTAGGACCACCCACAGTATGGTGTTCAACCATATTATAGGCAGTCCAAGGATGGAGAACTCGGACCACCTGTTATGTGGTGTAACATAATAATTTAGGCAGTCCGAGGACGGGGACTTCGAACTGCATGTAATGTGTTGTAACACCCCATTCTAGGTGGTTCGAGGATGGGAACCTCGGATTGGATGCCAGCTGTCCCAAAATGTTGGACACAGCTTAGACGATAAAAAAGAAATTTAAAACTGGTCCACGAATACCATCCCCGGATCGAGGGGCATTATGAAAAACATTTAAAAACTCTATAGCAAACAGCATTTCTTGTTTAAAAAATGGACCCATTTTGTATTTTATTTATTTATTTTATGTCCAAGTTGCTCAAACGATAAAATAAAACATTTGGGAGATTGAATTTCAGCCATAGTGCCTACAAAACTGGGTGTCAAAGACATATTTCCTTGATATTTGGTGCTTTTTTATCATGGGTGGGATGACGGTTACTTTCCTCTTTTCCTCTTTTCCTCGCAAAATCGCAATAAGAGCCTCAAAAAGTAAAGAATACCACAGGAATTGCACATTTGCATGGAGGATGCAAGCCAAGCATAATCCACAGGGATCTCAAGCCTAGCAACATCTTGTTAGGAGAAGAATTTCAAGCCAAAATATCAGACTTTGGGCTCGTGAAGTCGGGACCAGTAGGCGACGAGTCACATGTGAGCAGCCAGATCAAAGGGACTCCTGGTTATCTTGACCCTTCTTATTGTTCCACCTTCCATCTCTCCACCTTAAGTGATGTCTACAGCTTTGGGGTTATTCTATTGCAACTCATTGCTGCAAAACCGGCAGTCGATACATCACGACCGCTGTATACCGCTTACCACATCATCGACTGGGTGAGCTTCCAAAACTACTCTCTCTCTATCACACACACATACAATGAATCATATATAACACACAGACAGTTTGTGAATGCAGGCAAGGCCAAGTTTAGAGCAAGGAAATGTAGAGAGCATTATGGATGTGAACCTATTGATGGGTCCATGCAACACCGAGATGATGCTGAGGATGGGGCAACTAGGGCTAAGGTGTGTGGCTAAGTCACCGAAGGATAGACCGCCGATGAGTGAGGTGTGTGGTGAACTAGAGAGGGCCTTATGTGAGACCCAAGGGTTAGTCCCTCAGAGACTGACTAGGCCATCTAAGAAGTGGATAGAACAAGAGGAAAATGAGAGTTTCACAATGAGCCTTGAGGGAGCAAGATTACAGAGGTTCCATGTGGAGATGGAGAGCATATCATTCAGTAGTCTTGATCTTAAATGCTTGGATAGCAACACAAGAGGTGGGGAGAGTCTTAGAGAAGTGTGGGAGGAAGCTAGTGATGCAACAGGGTAGCCTTTTAATTTGGAATGGCCTTACTTTCTTAATCTTTCCATTACTTGTGTTTGGATATAAAATTAACAGAAAAGTGTTTTTTATATTCTTTTTTTATGCATAAGGCAAGGTAGTAGAAGCAGGCAATGCAAGTACTCCTCATCATATGACTATTGTTATGCTCAAATAACCCAATAAATAGAAGAGGGGAAAAAAAGAAGAAGAAGAACCCCTAATCAATGAGAAAGATATCTTTACGATTTTTATTGTTGATTTTTTCTTTAAAGGAAAAAGTTTATATAAAGTTGACACTTTATATTGGAGAATTAAGGTGCTTCTCAAAAATCTTTTGCCAAATGCCATTTTGATGTTGGAAAACCATCTAATAGATCATCTGACATCAACATGTGTGGAAGCAAGAAGATATATATATTTCAAGTCTCAAAAATAGTATATTTAAAAAATATTACATTTTACAACACATTATTTGGATCATCCATTTTCAAGATTTTCATGTATGTATATATCTGCTTGATTTGAACACTTTTGGACTTTAAAAGTTTATAATTCAAGGGGTAGATGCTTGGGCCATCCTAAAAAATTCGACAGTAAAATTACAACTTATGACAAAGTTTGGAGTTGCCCTTTACATTGATAATATTGCTCACTATAAAATAAATTTTTATTAAGTTTGCTGAATATGAATTCAAACTATACACGACAAAATAAACAAATAAAAAAATAAAATAAAAAACCCGAAAATATTTTAAATGTTTTATGCTACTTTTCATGTATGTCAAAAAAAATGTTAGTACAAAATATCTTTCATATTCAAACCGCTAACCAAGTTACTATCTACATTTCCATCGTCAAATTCTTGGTACTTGCTTTCATTTACTGCTTTAGATTTTAGAACTATTTGTAGTTAAGTGACATGTATCTTTTCAAATTCGAATTGCCAATCTAGCATAATATTTCATATTAACAATAATCTAAGTATATATTGTGTTAAATTGATCTTATCAAGATATTTCCAAAGATTGTTTCTGGAAATAAACTTATTAGAATAAACTAATAATAATCAATTCATGAAAGATTATTATAAAAAAGGTTTCACAAAAGGCTATACGAAATAATAAGCGAAAATATCAAATAATAGCGAAGTTGAGACTTACAAGTATAAGATTATACTTACAAGTGCAAGTCTTCTAAGCATGAGATGCTAGCCCTTGAGCCTTACGGCCATTTTAATTTAGTAGTGTGATTCTATAGAGTAATGTAAGTTATGTGTAGTTAGGGTCATATAGTTAGTGAACGATCAAAAAGAAAAAAAAGGTCATGTAGTTAGTGAGGCCCAAAGTTAATCGTGGTCAATGCCACATAGTGATGGTCATTCAAGTAGTGTGTGTTGATAGTGAATTTTTTTTTATATAATTCTATTTATTAGTATTTATAATATGAAACAGACATATATATATGTGTGTTTGTATGTTATGAAAAAAGTGCAAAACATGTATACATTCCCAAAGCATAATCTCTATGGTTATGTTCCCCTGATAAAATAGTTTGTTTTGCAAATAGGTCGTGGATGTTCTTCTATGTTAACTTTAGTGAGCTTGAAGAGGTGGGATTAGGAGTGGCAATACGTTGGGTACGGGTTGGGTCCGGATGGACCTGGACCTGGACCCAAATAGTATTTGGATTCAGGTTTTGGATTCATACCTGTTTGGTCGGGTCCATTGCCACCCAATGACTGAGAAATTTTTTTTTTTTTGCTTTTTTTTTTATCATCATATACCTATTGGCAACAAAGTCACAATCACCTGTCATTAGATTTCAAGCTGTATGATTTGTCATTTAATAACTAAAAATGACTACGAGTTTTTATTGTATAATATCCTTAATACACCCAAAAGCATAGGGTTTAAAGTAAAATATTTTCTCTCTAACGATTTATGGGTACGGGTTAGGTCCGGCTAGACCCGGACCGGGACCCAGACCCAGACCTTGACCCAGACCTAGACCCGAATAGTGTTCAGGCCTAAGTTTTGAACCTGGACCCGATCTGTCGAATCCAAAAATTGAACCCATACTCGGACCTGAGTTCGGGTCTACCCATCAGGTAGGTCTCGTCAGGTCCATTGCCAACAGTTAGTGGGATGGAGGAAAGGGGATACAACAGATTTTATATTCTCTCTAAGATTATCCATCTTAGACCAATCTAACGTTTTCAATATTCAGAACAACATATAAACACGTAAGATACCCATTTACAATGTCCATAGCCACAAAAGCATCAAATTTTCAAGGTTATGGATGATGCCATTGTCTATAGCTCATGTTTATCAGTATGCTCAAACTACTTCTATTAATTAGTAATTCTACAATACAACTTGCAATTTTCTAAATTCGTTGTGGCCCCTTACACTAGGATTGATATTGTGATGCTCAAAGTTAACAACACAAAATTGATGATAACTCTATTTAGCAACCCAGGTTCCTTTTTTTTAATGGGTGTGGTTTGTATAGTCAATCTTAAATAATTAAAGTAAAGTACACATCTAAATCTTGCTAAACAATGTAGTTTGTGTTAGAGACACTTTGATGTAAGAAAGCATTTTAATGCCTAATTATAGAAAGCTCCAAAAATGGTGTAGATCAAGTAGATCTATAAATACTAAATTTTTTTTATAATGGACGTCTAGATAATATGCTATAAAATATACTGTTTTTGTTCTAAGATACTTTGTTTTTAGGACAATGTTATTTCTCTATACACTTATCTCAAGGTCTAGATGGTCGATGGCAGGTTTCCAATGACGAAATAATGTTTTTGAGAGGATTTTTGAGTTCCACCTTATTTCTACATTACAAGGATGATACTTTATATAAATGTTTTCCTTTTTTAATTGTAAAGTCTTGTTTTGTGTTGCTTATCCTAAACTATCACTCAAACAAGCAAAATTACCAAAATTCCACTACTTGTTCATGGTTCCCAATTGTGAACACGAAAAATCACGTCACCAAACTTTATGGGGTAGAGAGAAATGTGAGAAATTAAGACATTGGATGGTAATTGAGATATTGTGAAGGAACTCAGTAAGTATATGAATGACGAAATTGGACCTATGAGAATTGTTATTCTACTGAATTGTAATTTCGTCATGAAACCATTCTATAAAATAGCCAAAACCAGCACGCATGTAAGAAAGCATACTTCATGGACTTGAAAGCATCATAAATAGTGGCACGCACTACCAACATGGGCGCAAACAAAGAGAGATTTTCCAATTGGATTTTGATTGTACATGTCTTCTAACAAGCCTTTAGAATTCATCACTTTCTCCTTCCTGTGACTCATTTGCTCCAACCGGCTTATTCTGTGTCCATCGGTTTTTACTAATTTCACTACTAAAAAGGTAACAAAAAATTCCGACCCATAAGAATGGTAGTCGACTTCAATTGATCATTCAAATGGTCAAACCACCTCGTTAAGAAGTAATTGGTAGTAAAATCAACAAATTAGCAACCCCAAGTCATTACTTTAAAAAAGTCATATCACTAAGATGTTAGTGAAAATTGATGGTGGAGATGAAACCAAACCCGAGATCAGAGAGGAAGGATGCCCTGAGGTTGGTGATCGCAGAGCCCTGATTTTGTATTAGGAACTTTTTTTTTTTTTTTTTTAGTAGAGAGAAGAAAAACTATCGCTATCTGTTCACAAAGGAAGCTCTGTACTCTTTTTTTTTTTCGATGTCATCTTCCTCTCTTTGGCTTTCCATTTTTATAAGGAGAAGAAGGGTTAACGGTTATCTTTCTTCAACGGGTCTGTGAGAAGAAGTCTTCTCTAATCTCAGGGATATTCATCGAAGGCATCCATATGAACGTTAAATATAATTATGGATAATTATAATAAACATGAGATTCCTCCAAGCCCACAATTGTAAGCTAAATCACATGAGGCCTCATGTGATTTAGGATTGATGGTCAATCCTCAACTATTTTATTATAACATACCAAAAATGGCCTTGTTCTAAGTTTAGAATCCTTACCAAAGAGCATTTCAATAATTTGGCCCCATAAGAATGCTTGCATTCTAGGTTTAAAATCCTAAACACTCAGGGGCCATAGGATAGTAATCAAAGTAACCCTTACTTGTTCTAGGTTTCAAACCTGAATCAAGAAATTTGTTTGATAAAAACGACAAATGTTTGACGTAGTGCAGGTAACCATCAAATATTGCTATATTGTTAACCATTACCGATACGAGAAGTGATATGACTTATTAAATACCAAAAATGGCATTGTTCTAAGTTTAGAATCCCGACCAAAGAGCATTTCAATAATTTTGACCCCATAAGAATGTTTGAGTTCTAGGTTTAAAATCCTGGACGCTCAGGGGCCATAGGATAGTAATCAAAATAACTCTTACTTCTTTTAGGTTTCAAACCTGAATTAAGAAATTTGTTTCATAAAAACGACATATGTTTGACGTTAGCAGGTAACCATCAAATATTGCAATATTGTTAACCATTACCGATATGAGAAGTGACATGACAATAACATACCAAAAAAGCCTTGTTCTAAGTTTAGAATCCTGACCAAAGAGCATTTCAATAATTTGGCCCCATGAAAATGCTTGTGTTCTAGGTTTAAAATCCTGGACAATCAAGGGCCATAGGATAATAATCAAAATAACCCTGGCTTGTTCTAAGTTTCAAACCTGAATCAACAAATTTGTTTGATAAAAAAAGACGTGTGTTTGACGTTAGCAGGTAACCATCAAATATTCCCATATTGTTAACCATTACCAATGCGAGAAGTGATATGACAACAACCATTGTCCATACGCAAGTGAATTAGATATGCACACGAAGTTCAAGAAATACTTATTGCATAGCCATTTTCAATAAAAATTACTTCTATGTGAAGTTCACCTTAGATTTTCTATACACAATGTACTATAATGGTAGGTGAGGAAATGGACCCGATCATACTTGGGACCCGATGGGTAGACCCGATCTCTAGTTTATGTATGGGTTTAGGCCGGGTCCAATAGGAACCGACCCATACCTAACCTGTACCTGTAGTCATAGGGTATATG